TTTTTTTTTTTTTTTTTTTTTGTAATTTGTATTTCTCTCTATTTTTTTTCTATTACAATCAAATTATTAAATTATAAACTAAAATATTAAATAAAGTTTAGACAAAAAGGTTTGAGGAAATAATCCCACCGTACTGCGCACCGGTACTACATTAGAGCATCCACAATGCTTTGGGTCTATTTTTGTATATGTGGCATATAATTGGACTTGAGTTTTAAATGACATGGACAAACACAAGTAAAAAAACTCAAAAACTTTGCAATGCAAAAATAAAAAGACTAGGTCTATCATACATGCCAACCAATAGAAATGCTCTAATATGTTTTATTAATTAAAAAAAATTAAATTAAGAACAAATGATGAGTGTTTGGATTTGTATTTGGGTCCAAAATAGACCCAAGTATGGACTTGGTCTCTTTTTTTCATTGCCACATAAGCTAGACCATGTCTACCTTTAATTGCATTGGGAAGTATTTTTTTATAGACTAAGTCTATTTCTCATGTGGCATGTGATTTTTTGTTAAAAGACCCAAAGTATTGTGGATGCTCTTATGTTTCCGAAAAAAGTATACAGTCCGTGCATCGCACGGGTTACGTACTAGTTTTTTTCCTTCCAAACGATAGATATTAGTAACAAACACAAAGACTAGAACACAGCCATACAGCCGAATACAACAGCCACACGGCCGAATACACAGCTACACATCTGAATCTAGTAGGGAAAACTACAACAAAGGGTTACGTACTAGTTAAATGAAAAATTTGGCTTAATACACTTCAATTGAAAAATTTGGCTTAATACACTTCAATCACACATATCCCCGTCATGTTGGTCCCACTTTTCACTACAATTCAACCTCCACTGTCTTGGGAAATATCTTCTCCAGTTCTCCCGAATTCCTGCCACCATGAACACACCACTCTGCTCACATTATATTTCTATTGAGAGAAAATGTTGCCCTCTTTTCTACATTTACCTTCACTTTCAAATTCCCCAACTGCTTTCCTTCACAAACCTCATTTCAACGCATTAGTCTTCAGGCACGGGAGAAAATGTTGCCCTCTTTTCTACATTTACCTTCACTTTCAAATTCCCCAACCGCTTTCCTCCACAAACCTCATTTCAAGGCATTAGTCTTCAGGCACGGGTCGAAATCCTACACATGCTTCACATATCCACCGTCCAACCAAAATCCGATCAGCGGCGAAGAGTCACGGTGGCTGAGAGAGGAGCAGCGGTGGCTGAGGGAAGAGCAGCGGTGGCTACGGGAGGAGTCCCGATGGAACTCCGAGCGCCAAGCTTTATTGCAGGAAATAAGCAGCCTTAAGCTTAGAATCCAAGAGCTTCGACGGCTTAACTCTGTTCAAGGGGGAACCTCGGCCTCCGATACTATTGCGAATATTGCGAAACTGCTGCAGGTATGCAGATAGATTTCGAACCATTTGGATTGTGTATGTGTTGACGTTTGTCGATTGAACTGCCGTTCTTCTTGGCTTGATGATATGTTGCTTCATCGAATTTCAGTTGTTGAATATTACGAAATCATTACTGCTGGAGTAATTAAGTATCAAATGATTGATCACTCTAACAACTTCAGCTTTAAGATGATGTGGTTGGTCGACTCGATACTAGATATTGTGCTGGAAGCTTTTCAGTAACAACTATTTTTACACTAATAAGATGACTTCTTGGCATTCTCGCAATTATTATGTTCTGCAAACTGTTACTCAAGAAAATAATTTGGAGTGATTAATCTTATGTTTATTAGGAGTTCATGTATTGTGTCTTTCACTTGCACATAGAAAAGTAATCTATTTATTACTATGTCAAATCACTAGACATGATTTGTTTCATCTGCATTTGGCATATGCCTTACTTAATTATGCGGTAACGTTTGGTTGTGAATCTGTATGACTACAACATAGTAATTTGACGGTGATGGATACTTCAGTTTTTTGTTGTTAGGTTCTGAAGGAGGGTGACTCGGGGAAGATTGTAAACAGAATTGCTGAAGGTGGTGAAAGCACTGTGCCATTAGTATTTGAGACCACAAAAAAAGAAGAGGAAGTTGTCATAAAGGAAGTAATTAGCATTCCAGATAAAAAGGAAATAGCAAAAACGAGGGTAACTTTGAGAAAAGGATCAGAAGGAGATCAAGTTCGAGATATGCAGGTACGAGTTGTTGCTACTAGCATTCAATAGCTCTATTAGGTACCATTTTTGTTATGCTTCGTTACATTTTATGCCTTAATTCCCCCATTATATACCAATCTAAATTAAGTTTTTGGCGTGTCTGTAGAACATTATGATGAGTTTTATATCACATTTTATGTGGACCGTGAACATTAGTTCTAGAAAAAAAAAAAAGTGAAAAGCTTAGATTAGAAGAGACCTCTGCTTAATAGGCCATAATTTTTGTTCGAGTGTTATGCAACACTACTTTAACTATGGCGATAACTAATGGAACGTGGCGCGATTCTACATCACCTGTACGAACCAGACAGTAAACTGACGACGATCCATGGAGACAAACTGAGCAAAAAGTTCCCGGAGACCGCATGGAAAGCCTACCTACTCTGAGCCAAGTAGAACAGGCAAGGAATGCCTGGCCCCAAAACTCGCCGTGTCATAAGAATAAGCATGAGAGCACAAAATAATGCTGAGGAGGTCTTATCGATCTTAATGGAAACGAGCCGGCCTTACCTGGGAGACTGACAGGATTTTGGCAAAGATCCAATGAACAAAAGCTTTGCAGGTCAATTCACATGGCCACTCCTATGAAATTAAATCATTAGATCAGGAACATATAGTGGCTGACACGTGTAAGAGAGCATGTGTCCTCCAATATGAATGAAAGTCTGATGTACAGTAGGAACATTAATTTAAAGAGAGCAATAAAAGCTAGGATTAAAAGCTTTCTTATCTATTGATTACTTATTCTCGCTACAGTAGCTCCGGCCATTGTCAACAAACAAACCCACACTTGGCCTACGTTTATACAACCAACTCCAAATCAAAATCCATTGATGAAGTCGCTTGTCAACAAATTACATGAGAACAACTAGGGGTTACCTATTTGTATAATGACATCTATAAGGTTGGGGTAACACGTTTTATGAATCAATTCTCAAGAGTTTTCTTTTAATTCAATATTTGCTAGGTTCTTTTTGTAACTATCATAGTCCTTTGGGGTGGCTTATGCTTCTCCGATAATGATGCTTTTTATGTTATCTTTGATAGGAAGCTCTAATGAAACTTGGATTTTACTCTGGTGAGGAAGATATAGAATTTTCAAGCTTCTCAAGTGGAACCGAGCGCGCTGTAAAAACTTGGCAAGTAAGTTTTCTCGGTGAGAGAACCCTCATCTCCTTGTTGATATGATGTAATATAATATGATGCATTTCTCTCTCTCTCTCTCTCTCTCTCTCTCTCTCTCTCTGCGTGTGTACATTTGTCCAGACTTTACAAGAATATTCTGGTCAAACCCCTCAAGGGATCACGAACACATTTTTAGTTAGAATGCCACCAATTGAATGATACAAGGAAAGAAACCAAAACTACGCCATCTGAAAGAATACCAAAAATTTATCTCATCAATGCGAATTGTTATTTTTATCCATAGAGATATTCAAGGAACCATGTGATTCTGATATTTCTGCCTCTTTTCCTTTCTTTTCCCATCATTTTTGGAGGCCACAATAGGAGCCACAGAAGATGGCATTATGACTTCTGAACTTTTGGAGACACTATTTGGAACTTCTGGTTCAGGAATGAATAGGACTTCAAATCATAAAGCTGGTGATGCAGATAAGGTATGTTCCATTGCTTGACGTGATGAGTCGCTATCTAAATAAGAAGGATAAATTTAAAAAGATATAGTACTTTGGTGTCAGCCTAATTTCTTCGTTAAGAAAGACTTTATTTTCAAAATATAATCATCCCTGTGGGATTCTCATTTGCGAATTGCAGCCTTTGTGAAGAGAAATTGTTATACTTCTGTGGTGTACTTGTTTTTTGAAGATAAATTAATATTCTTTTCTGTTTGGTTTTGGATAGATAGTCAAGATCGAGGATTGTTTGTATGAATAACACGCATAAGATATGACCTAACCTCAGGATAAGCACGGGAAGAAAGTGACTAGATATCCCACTATTTGGACTGAAAGAAAGTCTTTATATGGAGTTAAAAATGACTGATGACCACTTAAAGTCCAACTTTTTTCTGCTAATGTCTATCGGCTCCTTACGTGTACACCCCTCCCCCCTCCCACCCCCTCCCACGACCTCCAGTGGCTAATCTAAAACATGTCATACATTGCTTCTCCTGCCTCAAACTATAGCAAAGTGACTTCCTAGAAATCTTATATCTGTATACCCCACGTTAGAGCAATGTAATTTTAGTTCTTGAGGTGGGCATTTTATGAAGACGAATTGATGTGTTTTGTTGTTCGATGACTTCAGAAAGCAGAATTCTCATTGATAATGACTTAAAGCAGTTTGTCAGAATAGTCAAAACTGAACCGAATATGCTCAAATGAGAGTTGTTGTTTTGACTCGTTTCATTTTTTTCTGGTGAGACATAACATTGTGCTGTCAACCTGGAGTTGGCTGATTACGTGTTCAACTAGTTCAAGCAAATCTAGTAAATATTTTGCAACATTAAGCTTTTGCGTTTGCTCATTATGTGATACTAATTCAGAAAGTATTACTGTAATTCTTCTTTCCTTATATGGTTTGAACACTTCATTTGAATTGTTTTTGGTTTCTGTTTATTGAAGGGTGTAAACGGTGCCCCAGTTACTAGTATAACAAATACATCTGAAGTTCAGGAAGTTCAGAAGACTGTTGTAACAGATGAGGGGATAAACGAATTTAAGGTGTCCGAGCACAGAGTTTTTCTTCTTGGGGAGAATAGGTGGGAAGAACCTTCGAGGCTTTCTGGAGGTAGCAAAATGACAACAACAAATAGTACAAGCAGAAGTGCTATTACTAAGTGTGTTGCTTGTCGTGGAGAAGGCCGGGTATTATGCATGGGTACAAACATCACTCCTGTTTCTATCATTCCCTTTCTTTTTCTCCTTTAATTTGACTTTGTGCCAACTCCTGCTTGGATTATCAGTTCAATTTTGAAACAAATTATATAATTAAGGGTGACTGTATACACTTAAAATTTTAGAATTTTCATTTATGTTGGATAATGATGAAAGTTTGTCTTGAAAAGAATAAATAATTTCCATATGTGAATGTTTTGAGATAGAATTTAATGATGAAAGTTGATTTGAAATATGAAAATGTAAATAGTGACGTGTGTGAATAGTTAAATTTATGGTAAAATCTGTAATATTGATTAGTGATTTGATGGTTATTTTAATTGGAGTTGAAGTGATTGATGGGAAAAAAAAAAGTGAAAATGATTGAATAGTTTAAAATCTTTAAGAATTTCCATATCCAATCTCATTTTACATAAAATGAGGGAAATTGTTTTCACCAAGATCATATCCAATCGCTCCTTAAACTATGGACTATGAGGGGGAATAAAAGAATAAAAAGGCACAAAATTGATTGAGGTTTTCCTTTGCCTGAAATGTGATTTATCATTTTATTTGGGAAATTAGATAATGGATTCAAATAGACTCGATTGCATGATGCAACCATTTCAGGTTTATGAGGTCTATGTCTCTGTGTTTCACAGAAAAAGTACCTTTTCACAATATGCATTTTATGTATTATAGCACTAAAACTTCAATTTATAAGCTATATATTAGCAACATTTCGACTCCATCCGCATCCATAAAGTTTTGAACATGTGAGGTCTTTTTAAACACCTTGTTTATTGGCTCCATGAACTAGTCTTATCAGTTTCTCTTTCATTTTCTTTGCTGAGTTTTTTTTCCAATGACAAATTTCCTTTCATCAGTTGGAAGTGTTCCTTCTGTCCTTTTGTGCTGATATCTTTGTCGAGTGATTGGACCTAAATACCTCGAGTGCACTTAAGCCTTGAGTTGCACGGATCGATAATATCTATGTTTCACAAGTTAATAATCTAAAATTATTTTCGGCTAATATATTTTAGTTTTCCTGCAGAATGTGATGGAACTGGGGAGCCAAACATTGAGGAACAGGTCAGCAATGATTTTGTGTGGTTTCAATTAAAATTCATCCTTCGCAAATTATTCTTCAACAAACGTCAATGAGTGATATTGTCCTCGTGCGTATTATGAACAGCATCTATAATATAGTTTTATATATCTGGTGAACATTTTAAAGTAGGAAAGTCGAGAAATATATGGGAGTTTTGAAGTTGGAGAAGTTTCTGATATTCAGTATCAGTTTTCTGTATGAATCTTAGTTATTGTCTGCTAAATATATCATCTTTTGACTCACAAAGTTGTGTGGTGCAGTTTTTGGAGTGGGTGGATGAAGGAGCAAAATGCCCCTACTGTGAAGGTCTTGGATACACAACATGCGATATCTGTGTGGGAAACAACAAGTAAGGCGTAATGTATAAATATTTGATACATAAGTATTGTTATGGGTGTCATCATAATAGCAGATTTTCATGTAATTTTAGCTCTGATCTTGTAAATTCTATGCTGTATTGCAATAAAGCCGCTTCAAGGAGCAGTATATGCTTACAATAGAATGCTTCAGATACTGCTGGTGCAGAATTAAGACATAAAGGGGCGGAATAGTTAACATTGTTCAAATAGATAATTACATAGACTACCCCTGAGGTTTGGTGGAGAATTTGCTGAAGTATCTTTGAGAAGCTTTAAATCCTTGGGTAACTAGTAGCTGAAATATTTCTCAGGGATTTTTTCTAATTACCACAAGTTCAGGGTCTGAGTATTGTAACTATCCCTCGCCAAAAGGAACTACAGAGACCAAATAGAGCAGCCCATGGGACTGCAATTCATTGTATATACCATTAAACAAAAGATACTTACAAATTTCTTTTCGCTTAAATAACTTGGCATGTCAAACAGGTCGAAACTCAATGCCTTCAACAATGAGCCCTGACTTACTGTGTGGGTTATGGATCTCGATCAACCATGCCTCGACTATGCCATGATCTCCACTTCCATTCTGGAACTTACCCATTTCTATTTCCATCCATCCATCTTTTCTCGTCCGTGCAATTTTTCCAGCTTCTCGTGATTCAAAATGTTCATTGTGCTGCTTGTGTTTCGACTTATCGTTGAGAATTCTTACTACGGTGTCGGATGATCTGAGGCCGTCCATTTTCTCAAGCCAAAACACCAAGTATGCTGCATAAGTAGTGTTTTCGGATAGCATTTCAGTATTGACTTTGCCTTGAATATGAATCCAACTTGGAGATCTTAGCTTTGCCACCTCTAAAAATCTGCAAATATGATTCATTTTCATTTTTCAGCAGCATGGTAGACAGAGTTTATCTTCATTCATGCTGAGTGCAGTGTTATAATATCAACCGAGACTTCTAAATAGAGTTCAATGGCAATGCTCTGTATTTATGTATCACCACTGGCTGTAAGTCTTCAATTACAACAGGAACAGCTTATGCACTTTCTTTTCAATTTTATTCGTTCAATGTAAAGTAGTTGAATTGACCATGAGAGGCATATATGAGACTTGAAGAACTTGATTCAAAGTCAGAAGTTTCAAATTAAGGAGAAAATAGTCAAATACAAAGAGCAATCCTGAACTATGGTATAATATAACAAAAAGTTAGAGCAGTACAGTTATTACCCTTCCATAAAGGAAGATAAATTCCAACGAACCCTCGCATTCATCATCGAAATATCACATTGGGCCCTTTTCGAGTGTGTGTTACAATTTTGAAACTTTTTTCCCCCTTAAAATACTCCATATTGTTTTGAAGTGGGGGCAATTACTCAATGGTGGAATAGAGAGGGAAGGATTATATGAAGATCTTTACTAATAAAAAGAAAAACCTGGATTTGGCGTGTGATGTGAAGTCCCAACAGCCTTTCCAAGAAATTTGAAGTTCCCTTGCTCCAATCATAATGCATTTCTTTGCGTTTCTTTTGTCCAGAGACAAACTCTGTGAAGGCTCAAAACATATCGTATATTAATAACCGTACTAGTACAACACACGAGTATATAAAAACAAGTACACACAAAGTTTTCAAATAAGAAATATATAAATTTGTATTTCAAATTTTAAACTATATATTTATTTAAATTGCATTAGTTTTGTTTGAAATAACTTTGTGTTGTGCAGCAGGGTGATCATACCTTTCTAAACACTTTATATTAACATTTTGTGTTTAATGAGATTCATCAAACAAAAGTATATATATATATATATATATATTTATTTTTGTTATAAAAAGTTAGTTATTTATTTATTTTCTTTATAAATACATTATGAATATCAAAACCAAATTTTGTCAAATCATTGTAGTTTTCTTTTTATTTTTTTATTTTTTTTATTCATGCTATACAATATAATATTACATATATCCACCAGTTAGAATTGATGAATAACTTTATTTTTCAAATCATTGATAACCATGTTATTGTTTTCTCATTAGTATTGATAAATAAACTTGTTTTTATTTATAGAGATAAATAATTTTTTTTGGCTTATACAATGTGACATAGATGTCAAATGAAAAATCATAAAAAATAATGAATTTGATATGTAAAATATGAAAGCAAAATTAACAAGCAAAAAAGTCATTAATTTTTACAAAATAATAATAAGAAACTTTATTCAAGTTTTTAATTATTTTTAAACTTTCAACCTAGCTACATGGGCCTCCTCACTTAGTACGACGCACAAATATAATTAGTATAATTAATTATATGCTATTTAGTTAATTAATTATAACATAATTAACGTTTATAGCCAAATAAGACTAAGATTCAAAGTTGTGATCTATACATTAATAATTTATAAATGTAAGGAGTTGTTTTCATTTTTTTTTTGCATATTATTTATTTACTGTGATGAGGAAACTGTAAGACAAGATCAAATTCAACCTTGAGCATACTTTATTCGCTTAATATAACGCAAGAAAAATAGTTTATAAAAAACTGCAAAAAAGCATGAGTCATAATTATCTCTACTAGGGTTTAAAAAACATTAATCAACCATTCCTGAATAATCACGTCTCTTGCCTCAACAACCTATACATACATACATACATATATATATTACTAGAAACGGCAATCGATATTAAAACACTATATTACTAGAAAGTGATCAAAGAAACGACATTTGAAATTAAACTACACACTTACGTGGAAAGATACGTCACTATATATATATTTTTTTTAATATTGTTCTGTGTCTTATAATTCTGTCTGTATTCAATTATTTCCACTAATCCACAATATACAATGTTTACAAATGCATTCTTTAAGGAAAGAAAAGAAAATGACTAACCATTGACGTGTCCGCCCTGTTACAAAAGACATATTCATATTACAAAATTTTACACTCTTAATAATTAATAAAATTTTTAAAATATGAAATATACATATCTATGAAAATAATGTACCGCCTAACCTAAAGTGCCGATTAGGCTATCATAACATAAATAAGAAATGCCGTTAATATTATTATTTAGCAGAACTTTTGAAGCTAGAAGGGTTGAGCAATATGAAATGAAGTTTTCGCAGAATGAAATCAAACCAAAGCCTGGCAAAATAACTCAACTTTCATATTAGTAGGTTGAAATGTAATGCAAAAATTCATAACTATATATGAGCCTTATTTAACTACAGCATAAAGATTTGAATATCACAACATCCAGTACAAGATGGTTTTATATATGATGCGATGGTCATATATACTTTTAAATAAACTCTCTCAATTATAAGGTGAAAGTCTATTCTTTCATACTAATGTACAAAGAATAATTGTTTTCACGTGTATGGTTTTTGAAGATAAAAGTATGACTACTTTTGCTCATATTATATGACTACCTTAGGCTTTGAAAGTCCAAATTAAATAATATAAAGATGTAATAATTATTAAATAAGATAGATGAAAAGAAGTTACCATGTTGCCTCCATGAATGAGAATAGGATTGCGACAGAGGGTAAAATAAAGGTCTTTAATGGTAGCATACTCGACCGGAGCAGCTGACTTGGACACCATTTCCCGCCAATTGAGGGGCAAAAATCTCTCCCAAACATAGTTTGATTCAGCTGCGGATCTGAATGCTTTGGATGTTGTTGATGACCTTAACGCATCCAAAGCCGACGTTAGTGACAAAATCTCCCACACGCAGCCTTCCGGCAATATTGCAAAATGATCCACCATCTCTCTCTCTTTAATCTTCCCTAAATTTGGAGGAGTTTCTTGCAAGAGGCCGAAAAATGGGATTATATATATAAAAAAAAACTCGGTTTAGGTGTCAATGCCTGTTGAGCTACAAAAAGATTTTCTGTCCATCCAATATGGATTGGTTTGGAAATTGAGGGACACTTCCACAGAACTTATGTACCATCCCGCAGTTTATTATAGATTTCGTGTCACGTTGTGTATAAGTTTATTCACTAATTTTATTAAAGCTAATAATAGCTCCTATTGAAAAGGTACCCACCACCCACCTCTTATATTCATGGTATTTACTTAAGAATCAAATTAAAAACCTACTCCAACCACCGATACGGAGTTCATCAGGTTTGCCCTTCACTATTTCAAAATGTTTGGTGTCGGGAGCCGAACTTTGGGGTCTTTACCAAGGTTTATTATTGGCTTGAGATTTGGGATTCCGCTGAGTTATTGCTGAAATTTATAGCCAGTGCGTGACAAGAATGGTGCTTGGACCCGAAGATAATTTTGGAACTAATGATACGTTGGTCAGGACCTTCGTATTTTGTTACTAAAAGATTGGCGAGTAAGGGAAGCTAATTTTGCAGCCGACTTTATGGCGAGTTTGGCATTTTCAGCTACTTTAAGGTTGCATCGTATGACCTCCCCTCCATCCGGTTTGGGACATTGGATTGATCATGACCTCATAGGGGTGTCTCAACCCCGGCGAATTCTAGACCCATCTTCTACCTAGGCCCTTGGCCTCCTGATTTTGTACCGAAAAAAAAAAGGTTTGGTGTCGAAATATTATTTAATTTGGCATCCTCCCAAGATTTTCTTATTAATCAATCAAAACAAATTAAAATGATTTTTTCTATTATTTTATTTATGATTAATTATTTCTATTTATTTTTTAATTACTATATTTACTTTATAATTGTTATAGTATGTATTATATATAGTAAGTATATATCTTGTACTTATATTTACATTTTGTAGATGTCATATGCATTAATGTGTTACCATAATAATTTTTCTTTTACTTGTACAAAAAAGACGCTGCAACATTATAAGGACGAACTTCCCATACAAAAAAAGATCTAGAACGGTTTATGGAGAGGATCTAAATCCAACCGAGATGGATTTGGTGAAAACATCTACCAATGTCGGATCAAGGATTCAAAAGATCTTCAAACACAAATGCATATCTAACTTGAAGGAAACTTACTCCAAATGGAATAATGCTGAGGATATGGAAGATTGAAAGTGTCCTTGGACTACATGTATTGCTTGACAAAACTCGAATGAAGGAAGACATGATAATAGATATGTACTATGCACACTTCTATGATATCGTAAACTAAAGCATTATGATTGGTGGAGAGGTTCTAAGGCAACTTCAAAAACTCATGAGGACTCTTCCAAGAGGTTTCCTGAGAAAATTACTGCACTCGAGAGTTTTATGAGGATTTAGCCTCTAGGTATTGATGATCTACTCAGAGACCTCCATGCGTTTGAAATTAATTATGGATTTGACACTGTTAAGAGTAATGGTTTGGCACTGAAGACCATTGTACCAACACAAGCTGAAGAAGATGACTCCGATGGAAAACCATTTGAGGCCAACGAGGCGCAAAGTCACTTTCTTTTTGAACTTGCATTCCACTCGGATGGGAGACAAATTAGAAAAAAAATAATTGAAGGAAAAATGCCTACAGACTCTAGCAAGAAAACCAATGGCGACCAAAGTTCTAACAAACAGTCTCTCAAAATTCAGAATGAGTATGTTGAGAAAACAGTGTTGTTGATGCAAGGGTTTCAAACACTTCCAGAATGAATGTTCGACCTTCATAAAGAATAATAAAATTGGCCAAGCCACGTGGGATGATGACACAGAACAACAGACTAATGCATCTGAGCATTTTACGTGCTTTGCTTCATTTGTTCTTCTAATGACAATTCAATTATGTGTTCTTAAGATGATGCATAAAGTGATTTTGATAAGGGTTCAGATCCTTCTGAGGAAGATCTTACCATGCACAAGTTTGCTATTGAGAAATGCATCAAGGCAACAAGGGGTACAAGAAAATACCCGACAGAGATTGAGAAGATGAAAATGTTCGAACAACGATCCAAAGGCTACGTAAAATAAATTAATCGCCTACATGAGGGATGAGCTCTAGAAACTCTGGTAATGAATGGCGAATTAAATGATAAGCTGAACACATCAGATTTTCATACCAACAAACAAGAGCATAAGATCAATATATGTCATGGTAATCTCGCTTTGACGGACCATTTGTCCAAGTAGGTATGGTATGAGAAAAACTTTGTCAATCAATTGCATAATGAGATGTTCGCGTTGCAGACTGTACTTGTGAAAAGGAATTATGAGATTACAGCCTTGAAGCGTATACTTGGTCGTGTGATGGAAGAACTTGTAATTCTACGTGATTACTGCACCAATATTGAAAAACGACCGAGCCAGAATTTAGAGGTGGTTAACATGACCAACAAGACAAGAGTTTTCTTCTCTGAAATCTAAGCAAACAAGTGAGTAGTAAGGGTTTTAGTAACACTCACTCTCTTAAGTTGAAAGGTAAGAAATCTGAAGCTAGTAATTTATATGGTAAGTATACTGTTGTAAGTATTTTTACTGGAGTAGAATCGAAAGATTCGTTCCCAAAGTCGTATCGCAAGGAAGGTTAGCCGGATTTAAATGTACGATTATTCAATCACAAGAAAGAGAAAACAAATTCCTAAACACTCTAATTCAAAAGTTTGGGGTTTTCAATTATCACTAATGATTATAAAGCTAAGTAAAATATGATTTCAATATCTAACAAATTCACTTAATAATCAAAGAGCTAGGGAATCGGGGATAATCGCTTTCAGTTCTAACACTATTACCGGGCAATCAATTGCTCGGTTAAAGGATTTGAATCGCTTACTCATCCAGAGGTTCACTCTTAATAACTCTTCGTAATAAGAGAGTGAATGTAAACGATCAACTATCAATTCCAGTAACACATAGACTATACATTAACGAACAAGTCTATTCTAAACGAGCCTAAATCGATCGACGTCTCCCCTCTCGGTTCGAAACGTCGATTAACTAGATTAGAATGGTGATCAATCAACTAACCATGTAATTAACACAACTCGCATAAATTTGAACAATTAAAGGTATGCAGTCATAAATGAACCGAAACAATCATCTCCTATCCCTAGCGAATGGATTTAGCTACTCATTATGAATCCAACATCACAATTCACATCAACCCAAGCCATCATCATCATAAAAAATTGAGAAAAAGAACTTACGATTAATGTAAATATTCCAATGTCAAATCCAAGTGCAATCCAAATCCAAGCAAGAGAAGGAGTTTTTCAATCTCCAAATCAAATCCAAAGTGAAAAAACTAAGAGAGGAATATGTTTGCTAGAGAGAAAAACCATAAAAAAACATGTCTGGAATAGAATAGAATGCCCTAGGTCCAAAAACTGATTAAAAATCCCGCACATCGATTTTCGCATTGCCAGGTCATGAGTCGCGACTTGGCTACTTCTTCAAGTTGCGAGTTGCGACTTCTTCGCGAGTCGTGCGTCGTCATATTCTTCAAAATCCAGGGGAGTCGCGACATCTTCTCGCGAGTCGCGACTCCATCTCGCGTCCTGCGCCATCGGCTCTGAGAAACTCGCAGGTCACGACATTGTCACGGGTCTCGACTCAAATCGAGAGTTGCGAAAAATTCTGGGCTCCGTTTTATTCACTCCTTCAGTCTTCTTCGTTGTCTTCTAGGCTCGGCAACGGATATCCTCAATGATCACGGTCTTAGCTCAAGCAGTCCCAACCTCGACTGGCATAACCTACCTCTCGCAAACACAAACACAGAAAAAACACGAAGCAAAACACGGCAAAAAGACACATAAGTAAAAACTAAAGAGAAAAAACACAAAACAAATGAAATAGACCAAATATGCTAAGAAAAACCTACAAATGGGAAAAACCAAAAAGAAAATAACATGAAACAAAGACACAAAAATGGGAGAAACAACTCTCCCACACTAAAACCTTTGTTCGTCTCGAACAAAAACAAAAAGGAAAGAGACAAAAACCAAAAACGAGCCTAGACAACAGTCAATAACAAGATAAGCCTCAAAATGTTTAACTTCAACAATGAGCATTAAAATGGCACATACAAACATAACACGACTACATGCTTGATCGCTAAACTTTGATATGGTGTCCTGTCAAGTATGGGAATGCATATGTGTGCCTCACTCAGATTCTTATACAGATGAAGATATGTGCACTAAATTGGTCGATAACAAGTTCAATCATAAGCGTGCCCATTGTCTAACTTCTACTTAAACCAATCCAAATCGAAACAAGTGAATCAAAAGGTCTTTTATGGCTGTAACGTAGGTTCTTTGGATAGGTAGGATATATATAGGCTAAGTGGCTCGAATACATAACTCAAACTCCTAACCTCAGAACTACAAGCTAAACCAGTTGCTCAAACATATCGGATCTTCCCCCCATACTTCTCCTAAAACCACACATTTCACCCATCTTATTTTGCTTTGTTCTTCTTTTTTTTTTCCTTTTTTTTTCTTTTTTTTTTGTTGTTTGTGTAAACCTTTTTGGACATTTTATTATCCATTCGGCTACATTTTTTTTAACACAACTCCAAAAATCGTCCCCTCCTATTCTCAACCATCAACTCATCAACGTCATCATTAATGATGTGGGATATTATATATATCAGACCGGTCCAGCAGGTTGACAGAATAAATCGGACTAATTGATTTGGTCGAGCAGAATCCATTTTGGTCGGTGGCAAACAAAGGCTAAGAGTACGGGAATTTTGGGGAATCCAGCAGGCTCCAGCTACATAGAAGACTTGGTCGAACTTCCTCAAATGGTCGTGAGATCGACCATCCTGTACGCTAGGGGCAGCTTGCCAGCCTATCCAGGTTGGTCGAACATAAGAGCCTCCAAGGGAATCTCGGATACACGTGCGTGGGACACGTGGCATGAGCTAATTGGTCTAGGTAAATAACCGCCCCTGACACATTCCTGACACACCTACCTAGGGGTTGTACTATCAGGCAGGTCGGGCAGCTCTAGGGCAGCTAGCTCATCAATTCCGGGCAGCTTCTAGAACAGGTACTTCACCCCTATATAGGGGTGAACCTTACTCATTTCATTCAT